ATATTCATCAGCTTTCCAGGTGGATCTTTTCAGAGTCCTGGTCTCCATGATTGGATGGCACCAGGCAGGGTAATTAGTCAATGCAGCTGGCCCTGTGGTCCGCCCTGGCATCACTTCCCTGGTTTTGCTACTTTTCTGGGCCTGGAGCTGAAACCCAACCAAGGCCTAGATGTATATGACGTGGGTCAGAACCTCATTGTCCCGGGGGCTTCATGCTTAAGGGCTATTCTCCACCCCCATCTTCTTTCCCCCTCTAGGGGTAGCTAACCCACATGACTAGCAACATGCCATGGGAGGAAAGGTCAGGGAGGGCCCGAACCATCTGACCAGGTCTGTGAAAGGTCAAGGGGTCTAAACCACCTGACCAGCTAGGGGAGGAAAAGTTACCCTGGGGCAAGGTCCTTGTTTTCCTAGTTTTGCTTGATGCCAGGTGTGGGGCACGGTTACGGTGTTTTGGCCAGGTTTAAGCCTTGGACTAATGAAAGGACAGGGTCCTCTCATTGCCACGTGCAAGTCCCAGCTGGAGGGCAGGGCCCTCCCAACACAATCATAGCCAACGGCTGTGGTTGTAAGCTTGAACCTATGGTCCAAACACGTAGCCCCACGTGCCTTGTGATAGAGTTCGGGTGCATGTAGTTAAGTGAGGTTGAAACTCACGAGAATGCTGTAAACAACGTGATCACGCCCCTACTTTGCCTCGTGACATCTGCTATAAAATAAAGACACGGCTTGTGGGCGCTGTCTCCTCATCAGGGAGCAGCGTCCCACCGAGACCCAGCTTTCATTCTCATGTCTGTCTTTTCTCAATCCTTTCACCCCCCTACTCAGGGTCACTGAACCAGGCTGAGCTGGCATGGCACATAAGGCGCCGTGGGGCTGAGTATGCCGTGGCCGTGCCGGCTCCCCACAGCCAGGCACACAGGACTTTCCTTCTTGGTGACCTTCTGTTCCTGGCCTATCTTCCTTGCTTTGCTCATGTCTGTCTAACTGCCTACCACATCTTTATGACTTTTAACAAGTACCTGTCTGAGCCTCAGTTCTCCCACCTCCAAAATGGGCCAATGATATCTACTGCAGAGGTTATTGTTTGGGAGCTGTGCACTGTGCAACCACAGGGGGCGCTATAACGGAAGTGGCATCAGTAGGAGTTGTGTAACACCGCAATGCTGGTTCTTGTGAGTGTCAGGCATAATTCAGCGTGGTGTCTTTTCAGCGTGGTGCCTGGGATAGTGTTTAAGAATGGGACCTAGTGTTATTCTCTCAGGCACTCGGCTATCATTTGCTGTTGTGCTATTTTGAAACTTGCTTCTAAGAAGGAAAATAGTATGGGGCACAGAAAACACAACATTCAAAGACCTGGCGGCAAGAAAGTGTTTTCATGTTCAGCAAATGAGACTTTCCATATTCTAGAACTCAGAGGCTACATCCGACCTAAATGATCTGAACAGCCTATTGAGGGGTTTGGGTTTGTCTTCAGGGCAATAGGCAAGCAATGACGAGCTTTAAGGACAGTGAGAGAGTCAGACCTGCACGTTAGGAAGTTCATTTTGGCTGAAATGGGAAGAATGTGATGATGAGATTTGGCAGCAGTTTGAAGGCAATGGTTAACCATGGTCTCAGAGGCAGGCCCAGGTGTGACTCTCTGTTCGGTGTTTATTCCCTCTCTTCTGTATCGCTCTCTGAGCAGGCGCTCACCCTTCCTGATCCTTACAGGCTCCCAGTACACGTTGCTTGCAAATCTTCCAAAAGGGTCACTGCCAGACTGTCTTTCTCCTTTTTAAACTTGAGATCTCTACTGTATCATTTTTATACCTGCCAGGCATTGGGATCATTTATTAAACAGATTTTTTTTATAATGGTCAAAAGCTGGTCTTTTTGTTCCCACCTTTGTCTCTATAGTCTTTCTCCACGAACAGCAGAGAGAACCTTTTTAAAAGGAAAGTCATCTCATATTATACTTGTGATCAGAACCTCCCTGCGATTCCCATCTTCCTCACAGTCAAAGTCAGCCCCTTACAGTGGCCTCAGTGCCCCTAATGGTCCATCCCCACTGAGCTCCCATCCCTGAGCACTGAGCCCTGAGCCCTTAGCCCTTGGCTCATCGCCCTCTCGTCACACTGGTTTCTCTGTGGTTCCTTACACTATGGGAAGCACAGTTCCATTCATCAGGGTCTTGGCACTTACCTGGAATTCTCTTCTTGCAGATATGCATCCACAAGGCTTGGTCCCTTGCTTCCTTTAGGAATTTGCTCAAATGCCCCCTTATCAGAAAGACTTTCTTCACCATCCAGAATAAGTTATCCATGCCATATGTGTGTACACACACACACTCATACACACACAGACTCCTCTCCCCTTATATTCTCCTCACTCCACTACAGCATTTTCCTCACCTGACATTTGCATTTATTTGTTTGTTTCCTTCCACTGGACTGTAAGGTCTGTGAAAACAGATACTTTTTTTTTAATTCATTGACCAATTCTTGGGACCTAGAAGAAAGTCTAGCAGGTCATTCTGAAATACCTATTAGGTGGCATAGATAAATATTTGTGGAATAAAATGGCTGTGTAAGGAAGTTAGAACTAGACCTTCTACTACTGTTGGAGCTGGTTCAATGTCACCTTGTTTTAAAAGATCCTACATCCCACTCAAGCCCTATCATGTCTGAACAAGCAGTCACAGTGACCATGAACTTTTGCATATTCTGAACATATGCTTCTATTTTTCTGCCTTTTACTTAGAATGGAATTCTACCACCACAACCCTCTGTTGTGTCTTCTTTAGTGTGGAAAGATGTCAGAGTTTCTCCCCCTACAGTGATGAGCTATGGGGGCTTTAAGTGATGGCAGGTGGGCTCTCTGAAGGTCTGCAAGGATGTGCTGGACCCTGGTGCAGTTTCAAGTGTAAGCTATCACCAGCTAACTAGCAGGGGCCAGAAAAGGCAGGTGAATGTGTGTGTGTGTGTGGGGGGGGGGGGGGGGCGCGGAGCGGAACTTGGACAGCCTGACGCTATGAAAGGCTCTAATCCGGCTTCACTTCGAACTTTTTATTAGGCCACAAGGCTGTGTTCTGACTCAGGACCCCTTCCTGTCACCACTTTGCCTGCTGTCATAACTGACCTTCTAGACCAGCCGTGGGCAAACTACGGCCCGCGGGCCGGATCCGGCCCGTTTCAAATAAAAAAAACTAAAAAAAAAAAAAAGCCCGTACCCTTTTTTGTAATGATGTTTACTTTGAATTTATATTAGTTCACACAAACACTCCATCCATGCTTTTGTTCCGGCCCTCCGGTCCAGTTTAAGAACCCATTGTGGCCCTCGAGTCAAAAAGTTTGCCCACCCCTGTTCTAGACCAAAGTTACCCTGACTTGGAGCAGACCCTCCTCTATCCCACTGAGCCCTGGAGGCAGAGGTGATGTAAGGTCCGAGCTGTGTTGTGCCTAAACTGCTGGGTGAATGTAGAGCCATGGTGGCTCAGTCCACCACTTTGCTTTGCTTTCCAAGTTCTGTGCTGCTCAGTGACTCTGTTGCCATAACCCTAATTGCCTGCAGCCCTTCATCATATGTCACTTTGTGGTCACTGTCATCCTGCCACATGAGCTCATTTAGATGGAATTATCACTCCTGTACTTTTTGGTCACTTGAACCCTCTATAGAACTAAGATGTGTTTTAGAAGGATCGTGGAAAGTATGACATCAACGCCGAGAAGGAACACTTTATGGCTGGTAACGCTGATTTCACAGCCTGCCAGGCTAGAGTCTTACACACACCACCAATCTTGGGCCTGCTTGTCTCCCTTTCCTGTTGCGGACAGCCTCCGGAGGAGCTAGCCAGATCTGTATGCAGATGTGAGGAGTTGTGCTTGTAGAACCCGCTGGCCAGCTGCTAATGCATCAGGAGACCTGGGCTTGCTGAAAATTAGGAGGAAATGTGCTCTCATCAAACATGCTTTTAAAAACTGTACTCAATGTGTGGAAATATTGCATTACAGCAGAATTTTCCCCCTCAAGTACGAATAACACAGAGCTTTGATTGCAGGCAAGCGTGAAGATGTCTCTGTGTTTCCAAGTGCGAGGTGTACTCCAGAGTTTAAGATGATCACCAGGCCCTGTTTGGTTGGATTTTTAAAGTCCTAACTTCAAACCATCATTTTTTTTGGCTTTTTCTTAGAGTTATTTAGGTTTTATAAAATTAGCAAAATCTTTTAAAGCAGTTTCTACCCCCACTTTACAAAGGATTGGAAAAACATCAAATAATATTAATGGAAGGAGAGATGACTTAAGAGGTAACATTCCTGACCCTAATCTCATCCATGGTTGGATTTTTAAAGTCCTAACTTCAAACCATCATTTTTTTTGGCTTTTTCTTAGAGTTATTTAGGTTTTATAAAATTAGCAAAATCTTTTAAAGCAGTTTCTACCCCCACTTTACAAAGGATTGGAAAAACATCAAATAATATTAATGGAAGGAGAGATGACTTAAGAGGTAACATTCCTGACCCTAATCTCCTCATCCGTGACACCTCAGGACCTCCACTAAAGCATCAATCTTAATAAGGTGATTTTGGCAATGAGACATTTTCTGGAAAGTGATTGTACTAACCAAAATTTAAAAGAACATGTGCTTTAGCAACAAGGAGAAAATTATTTAATGCTTAAAAAGTTTTTGGTGTTTTTCTAATTGGCTGTTAGCATGCATAAATATGCATACAGCAATGCAAGGCTATAATCGAACTGTTCTTTTCCATTAAGACAACTGTGTACATTGTTCAGTGAATGAGGACTGCACGTAGAAAATCCACAAGCAGAGGCAGTGAGTTGTAGACTTTACTTAATCCCCGATGGGTTCTTAGACTAATGATTCACCATAGATGGTGGGATGGCAAGGTATGAGCAAATCATTGGTAAGATTAATAAAAATAAATAATTAGTCATGCTTTGGATCTGGCTCTAACGATGTGATTCGTTTTCCTACCCAACCCCCATCCTATTTCTTCCAGTAGGTTGGGACAGCTGGAAGTCAGCCATTGTACAACATGCTGCGAGTAAGTCTCTCACCCACCTTTTCGCTGGGATTTCATCTGTTAGTCATCGTGGCTGTCTTATTTTCCCATGTGGACCATATAAGTGCCGAGACAGAAATGGAAGAAGAAGGCAATAAAACTAACCAGTGTACTGGCTCATATTACTGTAAGAAAGGGGTGATTTTACCCATTTGGGAGCCCCAAGACCCTTCCTTTGGGGACAAAATTGCTAGAGCGACTGTGTATTTTGTGGCCATGGTCTACATGTTTCTCGGAGTCTCTATCATTGCCGACCGGTTCATGTCCTCTATAGAAGTCATCACGTCTCAAGAAAAGGAAATAACCATCAAGAAGCCAAATGGAGAGACCACCAAGACAACGGTGAGGATCTGGAACGAGACGGTTTCCAACCTGACCTTGATGGCCCTGGGGTCTTCTGCCCCAGAAATTCTCCTTTCAGTCATTGAAGTGTGCGGCCATAACTTCACCGCGGGAGACCTGGGTCCCAGCACCATCGTGGGAAGTGCTGCATTCAACATGTTCATCATCATCGCACTCTGTGTTTACGTGGTCCCAGATGGAGAGACGAGGAAGATTAAGCACCTGCGTGTGTTCTTCGTGACGGCAGCCTGGAGCATCTTTGCCTATACCTGGCTTTACATCATTCTGTCCGTCATCTCTCCCGGGGTGGTGGAGGTCTGGGAAGGTTTGCTTACTTTCTTCTTCTTCCCCATCTGCGTGGTGTTTGCTTGGGTAGCAGATAGGAGGCTTCTGTTCTACAAGTATGTCTACAAGCGGTATCGGGCCGGCAAGCAGAGGGGAATGATTATTGAACACGAAGGAGACAGGCCATCCTCCAAGACTGAAATTGAAATGGATGGGAAAGTGGTCAATTCCCATGTAGACAACTTCTTAGATGGGGCTCTGGTCCTGGAGGTTGATGAGAGGGACCAGGACGACGAAGAGGCTAGGCGAGAAATGGCGAGGATTCTGAAGGAGCTCAAGCAGAAGCATCCAGATAAAGAAATAGAGCAATTAATAGAATTAGCTAACTACCAAGTCCTAAGTCAGCAGCAAAAAAGCCGAGCCTTTTACCGTATTCAGGCTACTCGCCTGATGACTGGGGCGGGCAACATTTTGAAGAGGCACGCAGCGGACCAAGCAAGGAAGGCTGTCAGCATGCACGAGGTCAACACGGAAGTGGCTGAAACGGACCCTGTCAGTAAGATCTTCTTTGAGCAAGGGACATACCAGTGTCTGGAGAACTGTGGCACCGTGGCCCTGACCATCATCCGCAGAGGTGGCGATCTGACCAACACTGTGTTTGTTGACTTCCGAACCGAGGATGGCACAGCCAACGCGGGGTCTGATTACGAATTCACTGAAGGGACTGTGGTCTTCAAGCCGGGCGAGACCCAGAAGGAGATCAGAGTTGGCATCATTGATGACGACATCTTTGAGGAGGATGAGAATTTCCTCGTGCATCTCAGCAATGTCAAAGTGTCTTCGGAAGCTTCAGAAGATGGCATACTGGAAGCCAATCACGTTTCTACACTCGCGTGCCTTGGCTCTCCCTCTACGGCCACCGTGACTATCTTTGATGATGACCACGCGGGCATCTTTACTTTTGAGGAGCCCGTGACTCATGTGAGTGAGAGCGTTGGCATCATGGAGGTGAAAGTGTTGAGAACATCTGGAGCTCGAGGAAATGTTATCGTTCCCTATAAAACCATCGAAGGGACCGCCAGAGGTGGAGGAGAAGACTTTGAGGACACCTGTGGAGAGCTCGAATTCCAGAACGATGAAATTGTGTAAGTTCTTTTTTTTTATATACACATGTGTGTTGAGTGTGTTTGTGGATGTGAGAATGCGTGCATGTCCTTTTAAATTAAATGGCATACAAGGAATGGAATAGTTATTATACCAGACCACTTTCAAATCTCAACCCTCACTCACATATCATCAATATACTCTGTACACAGAGATCTTAACTTGATTTGATTTTTACTTTTGCACTTTTAGATATTTTAAGTACAACATAGATCATGATAAAATAAGTCTTGTGACACAGTTTATCAAAGCACTTATGATGGGTTGAAAATTTGTGTTCTGTTTTGAATCACATAATATACACACAGTAAGGGAATATTTAAATCATCACATCAGGTCCCTAACTTCACTGCTGAGTACTAATTGGGAAAATCCAAAGAACAGATACCTCTGAAAAGAATTTCCTGGCTACCAGGGCTGTCTGGAACAATTTATGCTGCTTTTACCTGACACTGTGGTTTTGTGACAATGTAAGATGATGTTTTGCTTAAATGTTAAGACTTAATTATAACTTAATGACCAATCCTGCTTTTTCAGTTTTATGCCAACATGGAAAAAGTCATATAGCTCTTATTTCATTCCAGTCTCATTTTATTTTGCATGATGCAACAAACCCTTTACCCTACTGATGTAGTGATGGGGAAAGAAGTAAGTTTCTATCCTAGCATCCTAATTGACAGGTCGCAGGTCAGAGAAGTGGACAACAATTTATTCTTCCTTTTGCCACGTTACAGTGACACTTGCCAACATTGTAACATGTCGTGCCTGGCTGTGGCTGTGTCCTGAATTTTCCATTGACAGTTGCTATTTAGAGAGCTATCCCTCCTTCCTTGCCTAGGAGGGGGCATCACACTCATCAAAAGCAAACCAGGAAGTCTGACTCAATGAGCAACGTCCAAACTGGAAAGAAGGAAGAAAGGAAACTGTGTAAAATAGATTCGATGCAACAAAGGACAATAATAGGAATTATTATGTTGGTTGAGTCATTGCCAACTTAGAAATTTCAGGAAAAAATGATAAAATAGTTTGTTCTATAAATCAAGCATGTCAAACTCGCAGCCCGCGGGCCGCATATGGCCCACAACGAATATTTTTTGCGGCCCAGCCAATATAACGCTGTGAGCAGTTATTTACAATTATGAAAGGAAATAAGTCTCCTGTCAGATCCAGAATTACTGACATTCACCTTGGGTCAGTTTTGAAAGTAGTCACTGCGAACAAGATTTCCCCCGAAGTAGGAAAGATAGTAGCAAAGAAGAGATGCCAAGTGTCAGGAAGAAAACTTTAATTTTATCATTGCTCTTGTTCTTTTTTTAATACTATACTTTTTAAAATTAACCTACGTTTCTATGAAAATTGAAGCTTTTGTTTTTTTGTGGCCCACATAAACTTAAACCTTGTTTATTTGGCCCATGTTAGCCTTTGAGTTTGACATGCTTGCTATAAATTGTTAACTCTTGTGTAAAGGACGTATATATGTCAAATGGCAAGTACATTCTTTCCAAGTTGAAACTTCTCCTGCTGTAAGTGTAGAGAAAACAAACATAGAAGTGGGGGGCGGGGGGAGAGAGGTGGGCAGAAGGAGCAGATATTTTTGAGTCTTCCAATGTCTTTGACACTGTATTATAGACATGAACAATTACTGATATCGCAATGAAATCAAGCAAAACAGAGATTATAATATCTACCCCCGAAGTAGGAAAGATAGTAGCAAAGAAGAGATGCCAAGTGTCAGGAAGAAAACTTTAATTTTATCATTGCTCTTGTTCTTTTTTTAATACTATACTTTTTAAAATTAACCTACGTTTCTATGAAAATTGAAGCTTTTGTTTTTTTGTGGCCCACATAAACTTAAACCTTGTTTATTTGGCCCATGTTAGCCTTTGAGTTTGACATGCTTGCTATAAATTGTTAACTCTTGTGTAAAGGACGTATATATGTCAAATGGCAAGTACATTCTTTCCAAGTTGAAACTTCTCCTGCTGTAAGTGTAGAGAAAACAAACATAGAAGTGGGGGGCGGGGGGAGAGAGGTGGGCAGAAGGAGCAGATATTTTTGAGTCTTCCAATGTCTTTGACACTGTATTATAGACATGAACAATTACTGATATCGCAATGAAATCAAGCAAAACAGAGATTATAATATCTATGGATGTGTGTGAGGGGATAGCTTTTGATGACTATCTGTTTTATGTTGGTTCTTATAATGTTAATGTTTCACTTAGTAAGATGTATTTTGTTAGGACAGATGTTTCATTAAAAGATAATAAGTAGTGGAGTACCAAATGAATAGCCTGCATACCCAAGAAGGATTTTCCCAAAGGCCTCGTGTGGAATGTGATCCTGCCCAGGTTAGCATAAAAGCTCTATTCCTTTGCTAGGAATTCTTTCTCATTATATTTTCTAATCATTTCAGTTATTGAATCCTCTTGTAATAGATAGCACTTGTAGGCCACGTAAAAGTGCATTGCTTATTATTAAAGGAGTATTGCATGTTGCTAAATGAGCTCACAAGGGTAGCCCTTAAATATGTCCAAATTGGTATTTTGTTTATTCATTTTACTTAGGATGTTTTCTCATGAAAAATTGGTCTTGCTTTCTCTTAATAATGGCTCTGTACTTGTTTATTTGAGAGGCTTTTCCTATATACTCTGCTATCCAGGACTTTTACCAAACCATAAATAAATAACCTTCTTTTGTGCACAGTGTAGAATCAGAAGGGGCCGGGGGCGGGGAGAGACTGCGTGATTGATGGAATAATTTTCTATTCTGCCAGCTCCATGTAAAACACTCACCCTATGCCATTAGATTGATTGAATTCTTGCGAAGGAGGGATTATTGCCAAACTCCAGCTTTAGAAATTTACATATCTTGTGAAAAGTAGTAAGAATTGGAATTATCAGTATGGCATCTCTGTATACATGTTCTTAGGACTATTCTAGACCAATCGCCAGTTCCTAGTTTTAAAATCTCTTGCTGAATTTTATTCACTAAGTGGAAATATGAAGTTTTAGAAATGGCAAAACATTTTTATTTATAAGTGGAATAAAATTACATCCCTATATATTTTTCTTTTTCTAGAATTTTTATTTTTACCTTATAGAGTTTTATGACTGATGAATAACTTGGTAGATGCTTAATAGGTCTGTTGTTTAAATCAATTTGTTTGGATGACCAAGACTTAGCCTTAAAATAGGCACCAAGGATTCAGACAGAATGTTTCTAGAAAAATGTAATATGATCAATGGTCCCTCATTGTATACTTTTTATGGATCTTTTATTTCTGGTAGTTGCTTCCAATGTCAGGTCCACACAGTCAGATCCAAATGAGAGAGTTTTGTCCTCATACAGTGAAATTGAACTATAAAGAATCACAATTTATCTTTAAGAATGAATTCTTATCTCCTCCAATTAATTACACAGTTAATCTCAAAAGATTACTTTCTTAAAAACCTACAATGCATAAATGGGACTGTTGACACCACTCCGTTTCATTAAATACTTCAAAAAATTTTTTGTTTGTTTGTTTAATGCTATGCACAAAGCCAGAACTTAAGATTCTCTCCAGAGTACCATAGCATGATTCCTGGAAATGCCTGGATTTAAAGGCTATCTAATTTTAAGAAGCCATTAACCAAGACAGAAATAGGATCCAGTCTAATCAGGGATGGAGATAAAGAGGCAGTCAGCTTTATTGAATCTTGAGTCTTGGGAACAAAATAGATTCCTAATCTTTGATCTTATTTTTAGTACAGAAATCATTTAAATTTATAAGTATGTCTATGCCTATTAATTTGTATTTTTATATAAATGAGTTGAATTATTTCAATCTGATCTTTTTAAGATCAAAGTCTGTATTTGAGAAAAATACTGATAAGTGATAAGTGGTGCCTGTGGTCTCTAATAAAATGCATTCTTGGCAAAACATTTTAAAATTACAATGGAAAAACCCATTAAATAGATATAATTAGCAGCACATGCAGTTGTATAAACTCAAGCAATGACAAATACTAAACCCATGCCAGCTAATCTTGACTTTCAACAGGGAATTCTGTCTAATGTTAACAGCTAATAAAAAAATAAACGAAGAATATGCTAATTTGATTTTGTGGTTTGGTAGGTGATATCCACAAAGTTGGCATGCTACTATGGTTGTTTTTTAATGATGCTATTTTAGTGGTAATAATAATTATAAAATGTTGCTTGGTCTTCCAATATCTAACTTAGCTTCACTATTGCAGAAAATGTTAAGGTTAATTAATTAATATAGAGACAAGTCAAATTTAATTACAGTACTTGTATAGCTATTAGCTATAGCTCAGCATTAATATCATATTTGGAAGACAACTCAAAAAGATCATCAGCATTTAATATATATTTTAAATGTAGAGTTAAAAAACAAAGTATGTAGGTTGGAAAATTTATATAATATATTGTTTAGCAAATCAGTTTACTGGGCATTTCAGACACAGCATATTCATTGTGCAATGGCTCTGTCCCAAATTAAGTTTGTTTTAACAGCTATTACATTTTCAAGTATGATTATAACTTCATTAACTAGGAAATAAAATACACAGGACAACAAATATAGCTACTTGACACTAAACATTTACATGGGGAGGAGATAGAATGAAGTAAAATTTTATTATTATATAGATTTTATGAAATTATTATTATTATATTCCAGGGAAAATAAATATTTTGCTTTTGCTGTTTATATTACCAGTATCCTTTTGCTTTATAGAATTTGAAAGAATAAATGCCTCACTAGAGGAGAGAGTAATTCAATTCTGAGAGTAGACAAATATGTAATACAAAAAGGCAACCAGCTGTAAAAAAAATAAAAAAATAAAAGAAATAAAAATATTAAGAAAATTTGAAGTGATCAGAAGAATAATTATGTGTGTTTGGGGAATCAGAGATGATGAAAATTACTAGAGAAAATAACATTAGACAAGAAAGGCTGTTAGCACATATTATCT